ATGCTAATCAGTTCCTGCTGGGTGTGGCCAACTTGGGAGCCAGCCGGAACTCCGTTCCTCTGCGTTCCTGCCCAAAAATAGCCCTGTAGGTCCCCTGATTTCTTGACTTTTTACCTTACAGTGGAGTGACGCTGGCTGCACCAAAAGCTGTGTGCTGGCCAGGTATGATTCCAGGGACAGGACAGACACCTTCCTGCAGCAGTGACCTTACTTCTATGTGTCCCTACCTGCCACCTGGGACCCCAGGAGGATGTAAGCTTCTTGTGCTTCTTCTTACATGGTGTGGGTTATAAAACAGACTAGCATAAGAACGTTTTGGAAGACAAGAGGGGTAGATGATCAAAGAAAAGACAAAAAGAGGAAGGCCAGTCACAGTCTTGGAAGTTTGGTTGTCACTAATGGTCTCTGAAAGGTTACAGAAGCACTTCCTCAGAGGAGCAAACTTAAAAGCTGATCTCATTCTATGATGCCTGCCAAAGTCCTGTCCTCCTGCGTGCTATTCACATAAATGCAGCTGTGCAGACTCAGACTTTTTTTTTTTACTAAAGAGCTGCCTCCTGAAAAGAGTCCTGTGGCTTACTGGTGATTAGGGTTTGTGTGGCTTGAGCATCCATAGGCAAGAGTGTAAGCCATCAGACGCATGAGATGGATTGGTGTGCTGGTGAGTGGACGGACGGGCACTAGAGGGGAAACAACAACAACCACCATGCTTGGCTGTTTAACTGCCTGAAACATGGAAACATGCTTTTTTTGTACACACTATGGGTGCGATCACACGAGCAGTTTGACCCAACATTGCCACCCCTCCTCTCTGGATCAAATGGGTGCGATCAAACATACACATCTGGCTGCCGTGCCCCAGTCGTCCCTACCTCGCGCTAAACCGACTCCCATGTGGATTAAATAGGTAAAGGGAAAGGTCCCCTTGCTCGAAAGCCAGTCGAATCCGACTCTAGGGCTGCAGTGCTCATCTCCATTTATCTACTTGCAATTTCTTGCTTTCGAACTGCTAGGTTGGCAGGAGCTGGAACTAGAGACGGGAGCTCACTCCGTCATGCGGCACATTCGGGTCTCGAACTGCTGAACTACCAACCTTCCACAGCCTGCAGTTCAGCGTCTTAATACTTGAGCCACCGCAGCTCCTATTAAATAGCCATCAGCAAATTCCGCTGGCTACCTCAGCAAGGCGCTTCCATGGTGGGTTTCTGGGTGTCTGATCGCCCACGCGCGCCATGGAAATACCTGAGCAGTATGATCATTCTTCTCCATTTCCGATGTGTCCCTTAATTTTTTTCTCCAACCCCACTCCGAGGTGCAATTCAGCACCCCCATCGTCTGCCTGTGGCACTCCTGCATGGAAGCACATGTGCACACGCAAAGCCTGGAGTTTGGGTGAGGAAGCAGAGAAGGGGGAACCTAGAGATGCTGCAGGCAAACTCTAATGCCAAGTGGAAGAGCCGCAGAATACTTTCCATCCAATTCCCAGGTCATGGACTGCTCCACTAAATGTGGTTGTTGTCGTTCAGTCGCATAGTCAAGTCCGACTCTTCGCGACCCCGTGGATCACATCCCGCCAGGCTCTCCTGTCTTCCGTCGTGCTCTGGAGTTTGCTTAATTTCATGTTCGTTGCCTCGATAACATGGTCTAACCATCTCATCCTTTGCCGTCCCCTTCTTCTTTGACCTTCAATCTTTTCCAGCATCATTCTACTAAATGTGGAGGGGACTGCAATTGGTCACCCTGGACAGTGGGGTGATATCTAGGGGGGCTTTGCAGACGTGTCAGGGTGAAGGAGTTCTTGGAACTATACGGGGGCTTACTGAACTTCCCGACAGGAGCGCGTCTGCACTTGTCTGCTTCTGCACATGTGCAGCAGGACATGGGGGGGGGGGAGAAATCCATTCTGCCATGGGTCCATGGTTGTGGCACACTGCCGATGTAAGCGATCAACCACACGCCTGTGGCATTATGATGCCAGCTTAGCAGCCGCCGTGTAACAGGCACAAAGCATCCCAAACTCAAGCGGCTTACCCTGCATTTGTTTTCAGAATGTAAAGTGCTCCTGCCTCCCCTCATCAGCATTCTTATATTTCTTCACCTATCAGTACTTCAAGAATTTAATGAAGGATGGCCCCGTTCACATGGCGAATTTGCTGCGGGAGAGTCACAAATGTTGGGCGCAATCACACCGCAACATCTGGCGGGTGTAGCGCACCCGTGGCCAACCCGTGGAGTGCCGCCGAAAATGCGTGGTTAAAAAATACCTCACCGAAAGTACTGGCAAATAGTTTGCCACGGGCTGCCGACGGACTCCGTCCGTGTGATCGTGCTGCCGCGGCTTTTCCCCTCCGGCCATCTTCGATGAAGCGCACGCGCTGAGGGACAAAACCGAGGTTTGCCGCTGACGCATCTGATCGCGTTGTCGCGGGTCTAATTGTGCTGCCGCAAATAGCCACCCCCCCCCGTGTTTTCCGGCACGTGTGGTCGGGGACGATGTTAGTCAACAGCCATTCTAGAATTTTCATAATTGCACTATTTGTTATTGATTAAAATAAGTCTCTGAAAAGGGAGCAGGCTGTTGCCTGGCTATTTGGATCTCTGCCTTTATGGCCTATGGATGCAAACTGGAACTCCAGTCAGACATATGAACTCAGAAAGACTAGCTCTGTAGTTCAGTGCCATGTGCAACACTGTACTTCACGAAAACGTGCATGCCTCTAGGGTTGCCAGCCACCATGTGGGTCTAGTAACAAATAAATATACACTGCAAAAACCTTTTAACAAACTAATGTGTTCTATTTATGGTCATCATTTAGTAAAGTGCATAGTGTATCATTATTTCATCCTAGTCAGGTATAAATATTCATTACATTCAATAAGCAATGGCATTCAGTACATACAGATTGCTAACTACCAATCAATTTTGCATCAGTGTTTCAAAAGTCAAGCCCCAACGGGTGTTTCCAGAATTATAAACCCGCTTCTCCTTGCATGAAGTCTTCCAAAAACGGGGACAGCCTTCTTAATAGTTGTATGGATGCTTTTTGCCGGTCCTACAAAAGACACATTGTGCAGCTAACATTCATGGACGGAGTACTCCTGTCAAATACACTATGCACTTTACTAAATGATGAGCTGCAGTGGCTCAAGTGGTTAAGACGCTGAACTGCAGGCTGTGGAAGGTCAGTAGTTCAGCAGTTCGAGACCCGGGTGCCGCATGATGGAGTGAGCTCCCATCTCTAGTTCCAGCTCCTGCCAACCTAGCAGTTCGAAAGCAAGAAATTGCATGTAGATAAATAGGTACCACTTCGGTGGGAAGGTAACAGCGTTCCGTGCGCCTTGGTGTTTAGTCATGCCGGCCACATGACCACGGAAATGTCTTCGGACAGCGCTGGCTCTTCGGCTTGGAAACGGAGATGAGCACCGCAACCCTAGAGTCGGATTCGACTGGCTTTCGAGCAAGGGAACCAAAAAAAAATGATGACCATAAATAGAACACATTAGTTTATTAAAAGGTTTTTTGCAGTGTATATTTATTTGTTACTCGACTCTCCTAACACTGCAGCTCGGGTTGCTTCAGCCTCCAGGTGGGGCCTGGAGATCTCCTAGAATTACGACTGATCTCCAGACCTACAGAAACCAGTTTCCCTGAAGGAATGGATGCTTTGGAGGGGAGACTCTATGGCACCATGACTCTGCTGGGCTTCCTCCCTTCTCCAAACTCCGCCCTGCGCAGGCGTCACATCCAAAACTCCACGAATTTCCCAACCCTGAGCTGGCAACCCTAGACTGCATGCATGCATATGTGTGCATGCACACGTGCACACTTGTACAACCGGAATCCCATTGTGAATAAAACCAACTGCTAATTACAAGCTATAAAACACCCAGGTGTAGAAATCTGGAACACAGTTAAAGAGACTGTCATCATTTGGGGAACAATCATTCGAGCCGAAGTACCCTTGAGATGTGCGCAACTGAGGAAGGCTCGTGCTTCCGTACTCACCGTCTAAAGGGCTGAGGTAATCGTGAAGGTGCGTGGCACTGGCTGCTCCCCCGCTCTGCATGAGGAGGTCCCCGTAAGGATTTGGATGGCTGGCCATGAGCGTCATCTGGTGATAGTAATCCGCAGGGTTGGCTCCCGGTGGAGGAGGGGGGAGGCCGAAGAGACCCCTTTCTTTCAGATGCTCATGTGCAACTATGCAGGCAAAGAGTGAAGGGGACAGAGAAGGGGTGGGGGGAGAGAGAGAAAGAGCAAGGCTAAAATATTTCCACTGTGAGTAAACTTCTGTAGTGACGTTAGAATCTGCCCTTTCCCTGCCAAGAGCTTGGCGTTATGACTCTGACGTGTGCTCGGGACGTGTGCTCTCTGTGGACAAAAGACACCGGGCTGGGGCCCTCCACATTCCTCCGTTTCCGCAAATTTATAAACAATCTCTTATTTCCACCCCCTCTTCTAATAATCCTTCTGCATGAATGCAGGGTTCGCTTTAGTGAGACGGAGGGTGGGGAGAGGGATGGAGGGAAGACGGCAAGGGACGGAGGGGCGATAAGACTGTCAGAATTAACATCCCGGCCCATTAGGAGACAGAAAGACAAGCACGGCCCAGTTAACGAGAAGCAGCATAAGAAAATTAAAGCATGAGTCTAATGCGCAGCATGAGAGGGTTGGGGTTGGTTTTTTTTAAGTGCCTGGCAGTAGAAGACCATTTGGCTTGCCAGAACCGATTATCCTCACTTTTGCCCATTTGTAAATTTTCAAACCTGCCTCTTTGCCCACTCTCCATTAACTTATTTACTGTGGCTTAAAAAAAAAGAGGAAAGGAAAGAAAAAGAAAGCTGGAATCCAGCACAAAGGCCCCTTTCTAATGCCAAGTAATAATAAAATTTCTTTTGCAGGCAGGAAGGAGGGTCAGGAGCTGGGAGGGAAAATGACTACAGCGGCAATAAAACACATCTGCAGTTTGCTTAGAGTAGAGCCTTGGGACCGTAACACTTGCTGCAGTGAGAGGCCTTCAGGATCGCCAAAGCGAATCAGAGGCAACAGAAGAAGCCAGGTCTCACGGGACATGTTAAGTCTGTGTGGATGGACTCGTGAGGAAGATACGGGCTGCCGGCCTCCAGGTGGGGCATGGAGATCTTCTGGGATTACAACTGGTCTCCAAGGCTCCCTCTAAGCTGTGGAGTCTTGTGAGCAGAAATTCTAATTTGTGAGCTACTGGCATTAAAGTTGTGAGTGAGCAGTTTGGCTGCTGCATAAATTGGTTTGCTCCGGAGCCATCCTTCCTGAGCCGAAGACAAAAATGTGTGAGCCGGAGGCTAAAAAAGTGTGAGTTAGCTCACACTAACTCAGCTTAGAGGGAACACTGCTGGTCTCCAAGCCACAGGTATCAGTTTCCATGGAGAAAATGGCTGCTTTGGAGGGTGGAATCTCTATGGCATTATTCCATCCCTAGATTCCGCCCCCAAATCTCCAGGTATTTCCCAAAAGGGAGTTGGCAACCCTAGAAGGTACCCAGTATCCAGTTCTGATTCCACACACTTGAGGTTTATGGCTTCATCACAAATACAAATTAGATAGAGATATCATGTACCCCCCCTCCCCAGTGGCATACCATCATTATCATTGGAGCACCTATATTAATGTGACTAGGTAGACTACTACAGAGAATAGGGTTGCTAGGTCCTTCTTAGTCCCCAGCAGGGGACTTAGGGGGGGGGCGTTTCTGGAGGGGGCGAGGACATCCCCAGTGTGATGATGTCACACAAAAGTGACATCAACATGTTGGAGACTGGCACTCCCCCTGTGCCTGTACTCCAAAGGGTGAAATTTGCCGCTTGGAGTTCAGGAGCATCCCCCCGCATCTTGCTCAAAGCATTTGAAGAGACCCTTTAAATGCTTTGAGCAAGAGGCAGAGGGGCACGCCTGAACTCCAAGCGGCAAATGCAAGGGCTCCCCCCTGCTTCTTGCTCAAAGCATTTGAAGGGTTTCTTCAAATGCTCTGAGCAAGAAGCGGGGGGGGGAGTGCCTGAACTATGGTACCATAGAGTTTTCAGGCCGATTGCCAGAGCGTTGCCCGGCGACGTACCCAGCGTGATGGTGTCACTTCCGGGCTGTGTCATCACGCTGGGCACGTCGGCCCGATCTGGCCACTTCGGGGGTGGGGTTCCCCCAGCCGGTTGGATCCAGATCGGCGGATTGGGGGCCCTTAGAGCAGGGGAATCCCCACCCCCCAGAGGGACATGGTAGCCCTATGGGCTCATCAGAATGAAAAGTGGATAGCAAAGAAGATACCATCAGGAAGCCATTACTGTTGGCATAACAGCAGGTTTCCTAGTTCCTCCTTTTCTTCCTTCATAAGAGGCAACAATAGAATAATGTGAGCTGGTCCTGTAAAGTGCTAACGCACCAACAGCCATTTCTCTAGTATACGGGTAACTCCTTTCATGGAAACAATTCTAAAGTGGTTGCTATATCAACAGCAATGTATATATACATTGACCCGCAGTCAGGATTGTGCATCTCACTTACTGTCAGCCGGGCTGAGACCTCTAGCAGCTGAGATCATGGACAGGGTAGGGCTGCTGTGTACAGATCGGAGGTAGTGTTCCATGTGGGGGCTCATGTACGGGTGAGGAGGGTTGAAAGGCGATTCTGCAGGTCCCGCAGGATGTGGAGAAAGACGGATGAGAGAGAGGTCAGAGATGACAGAGCTACCACTCAGAGCAGGAGGTCTGCAAAAGAGGCAGAAGGAAGTTCCATCAGTGGGACTTTTTGTTCAGTTTCTTGGTGCACCAGCAGACACTGAGACAGCAGAACAAAATCTAGGGAGAAAAGGCACTCGGTTTAACAATGCTCATGTGCAGCGTTGGTTGCTTGTTCTTCTGGCTGCTGAAACAGCTAGCGAAGAAGAGGAAACTGTCGGCGTCTTACTCCCACAAGTTGCAGGCCAAGGACTGTCAATGTAGTTAAAGAATTTTTGCTGACATCTGCAGCTTGAAAACCGATTAGCTAAGCAATTAAATTTAAATAAATGTAAAAACCAAAATATTGTGCCTCTTGTGGAGATAGCAAAAGAAGTGAAGACACTTACAATTCACCCCATAAAAGATATCAGTCATTTTAAAGCTATCTTTAGCATTTGTTTTGTATTACAGCAAAAACAAATAGGAGTCTTGTGGTACTTTAAAGATTAACAGAATTTTATTCCAGCATAAGCTTTCATGGACTTCTTCGGATGCTATTATTCCCTTTTACAGTAGCTCACCAGGACCAGTATAGACTTCAACAAAGTATGAGCCACACCTATTAAAATTGCCCTCACCAATTAAAATTGCTAGCTAAAATCGCTAGTAACTCATCTTTGGGTTCTTCTTTGCTCAGCTATGCTTCAGATGTTGTTGCATAGAAAGTTGAAGTAGAGTAAGTTACATCCAAAACCGGCCTGTGAGTACAAAATGATGATATTGTTTTGTGCTAGGTATACTGCAAAGAATAAAGCATTTTTAAAATATATAATTTTTAGAAAACAGATTAATAATTTCATAACAATTCCCAACCCCCGTCTGCACGATTCTCTCATTTTTCTGTTTAATAGCATGGGACCTGTATATGTCACTATGTACATGAAGCTTATTAGTACTGCAATTGTGACATCATCCACATCAGCAATCTACACCTACCTATGCTTCCTGTTTCAGGATAAGTTGCAGATAATAAGGCAGCTGTTTAAGATCTACCGCTTTAATTTGTATTGGTGGAAAGCAACGGTGGGTGAACGGAAGAAACAGAAAAGTGAATCAAAGCCGGTGTTTCAGGTTCGGCTTGAGATCATTACAAATAATCGATGACCCCATCTGGGGAAAATGAAATGGGATTAAAAATAAAATAAGTGATGCCATTAAGAAAAGATCTGGCATTTTTAATGCTGATGAAGGCAAAAATCCAAGTTTGTGATTGTTGGGAGGTGGGTGAGATCTCAGTTAAAAGCAGTCCCGTAACACCCTGACTTCCAGAGCCTGCCTTAATGCATAAGTCTTGAAAGAACTTCTACATACACAATAAGCTCTCTCCTTCATCAGTAATCACAGTTTCTCCCGACAGGATTGTGACTGCCTTCAATGCAGGCTTGAAACGATGTATTACTCCGTGTATGACCAGGCCCATAGCTACAGTGGGGCCGATCGAGGCTCTGCCCCCTTTCTTTGACGCCTCAGTCCCACAAGAATTTCTCCTGTAAATGCTTTTTTCATTCATTTTAAAACATTTTTAAAGGCATGCACTCCTTTAACCAGGGTGGGGTGCTGTAGTTGACTCATTCCCACCCTGAGCAAAGGGGGTTGGAGTAGCTGACCTCTAGGATACCTTCTAACTCTGTGTCAAAAAACTGGTCTCCTTTAAGAGAGTTTCTCTGCCTAAGTGTTAGCTTTCTTGACTATAGAAGTCATCACGTGCACCTGCCAGCTTGTAATCAGAATTGTTGCTTCGGCTGGCAGAAGTGATTAACTTGCAGCAGTTGAGAACTGTCATCTAAAGTGGTTGGCAGCTTGCAGTTTAGAGATCTATCCTGGTAACGGCTTTCTATTGGCTAAATGGCTTTTCTTTCTGCACTGAGAACTTCAGCCCCACCAGGAAAAAAATTGCCCCACATGCCACAAAATCCTGGTTACGGGCCTGTTTATGACCCTTCTGAGTCTATTCCGATCAAACTAGGAGGCCAACATCTAAAGCCAGTAACAATGACCAGGGCTTGGTTTTGCCCAAGGCTTACAATGGAAGAAGCTGTGTCTTTTCAGTTACTCTGAACAGACAAACTCTCTGGAAATATAAGGTGATAGTATGAAGGTTTTAATTCAGTTAGGGGCTGTCCTGGACAAGGGTGTGAGTGTGGTGTCAAGGGATTACCACAAGCAAGGAGAGTCATACTCTACAGAGGAATTAGAAGCATCTGCTCAAAACACCTGGAAATGTAACCAAAAGAATGCAAAGCACTTTAAAAAAAATGGAGATGTTTCTACTATGAACTTCTGGGCCTCAGAATGGAGGTCTAACAATACAGCAGATATGGAAGTTTAGTGAAGTGTCTTCAAAAGTTAATAGAGAATGTGCTGGCATTATTTTGTCTCCTGTTGCCCATGCAGCCCTTGTTAAACTGCCCAATCTAAGCCTGTTTATGTTCAGTGTATACCTACCCCCATGTTCTAATAATGCCAATCTTCTAGCTCAATTGTGTAGTTTTAAGTGTCTAAGTTGAGTGGAGATTTTCCCTTAGCAGAATCTATGATTGTTAGTGACTTTAATGCCAGGATAGGGAAGGATGACCAACTCTTGTACGAGCCTATGGGCTTTCATACTAATGACATTAATGACTCCTTATTCAAACATATTTATTCATTTATTTATTTATTATATTTATACCCTGCCCTCCCAGCCATGGCCGGCTCAGAGCAGCTTACAACAACATAAAAACTACAATGCATAAAATAGCAATCTTAAAACCATAGCAATAAAAATATTAAAAGGTGCTAACAGTAATAACCCAATTTCCAATAACAGATATCAGTTTAACGTTACGTCTAAGATGGCGCTCAACTTCCATGCCATCCTAATGGTCGATCTCAATCTAACGTTGTATGGGTGGCTCAGGCTGCTTTAAGATTTCCAGGGGCAGGGCATTCTCCCCCTGGGCGCCTCCTAATTGAACGTCTGGTGGAAGAGCTCCGTCTTGCAGGCCCTGCGGAACTGCATAAGGTCCCACAGGGCCCTGATCTCCTCCGGGAGCTCGTTCCACCAGACAATCCTCCAAGACAATCCAAAGACCCTCATGTTAATGTGGTCTTTTTAATTTTTAATTTTAATTTTAAATGGGTTATTGTCTCATGATATGCCTGGTGACTACACCTGGGGTTGTAGTGTAATTGATTATGTTATTGTTTCTCCAAATATGAAAAGATGGATTCTTGATTTTTTTGTGGGTACACGTGACAATAGTGACCGCTTCCCACTGATCACTGTTTTGCATGGTGAGAAGTCATCCTGTCGGTCCCCTGTGCCCATTTCTTCCTGTGAAAACATGCCTGCCTCTCAAAGAATTAGGTGGTCCCCAAAAATATAGGCGGGTATTAACCAGTTAATATACTCCAGCGTGGTTAGCAAGCTAATTCAACAACTTGCATACAAATCCCTTTGAGGTTTTCCGTTCTTATAACAGCTTGGTTGCTACTATCAATTGCTCACTGTCAGGTAGCCCTGTCATGGATCTGGAATGTGGAGGGGTACCCTCCTCCTCGTTCTCAGCTCTTCCCTGTCCAGCTACTGTGCGCTATTTCCAGCTTGACCTTGTAGTCTCCAGCTGCATTTACTCGGCTGGGAAAGTAACGGCTTTTTGCTGTGCCCGCTTGTTAGCTTGCTGTTTGCCCACACGCGCGAACTATAATCACTGGCTTCAGCTCATTGGGAGGGACGTTTGATTTCACTATAAGTCAGAGGCCCTTATACTGAAGGCTATTCCTGACACAAGCTGTGCACGTGTTATTTAGTCCTGGAACCACTAATAAACAGTCATCTTCTTCTGAAGCCCTGTGTGGTGTGACCTGCCTAAGGAGTCTGACACTCGCTTCAGCAGCAATCTATAGTTTCCCATAGTTCCTCCAGAAGTAATACTGATCCCTGGTTCAATGAAGAATGTCAGAGTTTAAAGTCTCAGTTATGTGACCCTTATCATTCATATTGTAATAGTAACACTACCAACATATCCTATAGGTATTTTAAATTGGGGAAAAAACAACTTCAAGCTGCTGTAGCATATAAGAAGAGACAGCTAAACATCAACAACTGGGATATATTAATTAATGCATCCTTATCCAAGAATAGTAAACAATTCTGGGTTTTTGTTGCCACAGCATATAAGGACAGGAGTCAATCTTTCATTTGCTCTATACCTGCTCAAATTTGGACAGACCATTTTTTAAATATTTTTTTTTGATCCTTCTATTATTTCATTTAAGTAACAAGAGGAATTATCTTCTGAGGGCACTTTCCATGCTTAGCAACGTTTGGTTGATTTTCTGCATTTGGTCCAGTAGAGGGCGAAGCATCTCACTTTCTTGTTGATTGACAGCCTGCTCTCCAGGGCGGGCATTAGAACCGGAAGTTCCTGTTATCTTCTTCGTCTGCTTGTCCGGAAATCTCTTTTGCCCCGACATCTTTGTTTTATTGTTTACTTTTCAAAAGTTCGTGCTGCGCAGCCTGGGAAACACTCCCTTTAGCTCGCTTTAACAAATCTCCCAAAAGGTAACTTTCGTTTTTCAATTTTTCACCCTCCCCCTCTTCTCTCGGTTAAAACAGTCTCTTTCTGTTAGGGGGGGTAGTCCACCCTCTGCCCAAGCGCTTATTCAAACGGGTGTGTGTGTGTGTGCGCTTAAAACTTTTTCTTTTTTGATCGTCAACTCACAGTTTGTAGCTGGACATCTTCTCTCTTTTATAGTTCATTGCTTTACCACTCCGATGGTCCGGTGGCATTGCTAAGTCCCCATTCGGGGCACAGCACGGCGGGGTCGTCGGGGCAAGGGGAAAGCCTCAATTTCCCGACCTTCAGGTCAGTAAAGAGGCTACTCCCCGGTGCGCCCCTTGGTTCGGAGCCTTTACCCAAGGCTCCTTAGGGTCTCCGCTTGTGTGGATACCCCCCCAATTCGCGTGTGG